GGTAAAGCATGGATCTGAAGATAATGCAGAAAAATGCTCAGAGGATAAGGATAACTTGCCAAAAAGAAAACGCTCTCGGTTAATTAATAGTGTTTTTAGTGATGACGAAGAAAACATTGTTTAATTTATATTAATATGTATCACTTAAAAAATTTTTAATGAAGATATTTATCTTAATTATGAAAATATACTAGACTGTTTTTTAATTTTTGGAACCTAACCATCCTTTTCATATTAGTTCTTCGTTTTGTATAACACGGATTCGTATAACACGGCAATTTTTTGGAACGTAACTACCGTGTTATACGGGGGTTACCTGTATATGTATTTTTACTATTACATATAAATAAACGTAGTAAAAAAGTATATTTTTTTTATTTTTTGAAGTCGCCAGAACGAATTAATCAAATTCCCATAAAAACCTATGGTAAATCGATAATCGGTTAACGAACAATTTGGATAACGAACAGTCTTGGAGCGGATTATGTTCGTTAACTGATCACCCACTGTATTTTTTCAATGAATTTTTTAATATTTAATTAGATTTCACTTGGTAATAAGTTTAAATAAAATATTTTTGTTTTTGAAGGTCCAGGCAGACTTTTTTCTGTTATAGAAATTTTACAAAAGGAATGTGATCGACAAGTTAAAAAAATTTTAGATGACTTTAAAACAAGCAGGCAATTTCTGAAAAAGGTATAAAATGTAAAATTAATTTATTTTATTGCATAATACTGTCACATATTTAATGGTTCTGAATAAATGACAATCTAAAAGAAAATATAGAATTATAGCTTTTATTTGAATTTAATTTATACAAGAAGCTATCATCATCTTTCCATCCAATATCATATAACCCTTTGTGAGGTTAGTGACATTCAACCTAATTCAAAAATTTGTCAAAAGAGAAAATAAAAACTGTTTAAAGCAATTTAAAATATATATTTCTTGATAATTCAAGGGCAATCATTGCTTTTAGTATAATCTATATTCCTTGTAATTATGATTTTTAAATTTTAAGATTAATCATAAAATTTCTGAAAATTATCTGTTGTTGGAATATAATCAGATTTTTAGAAAAATATTAAAAACAACTGAAAATAATTTTTTAAATATAATTATTGATAAAATTATAAAACAAGGATTTGTATAGTGGTATTAATAGGAAATTGTCATAATGACACGTTTTTACAGTACAGCATTGATTATCTGAATACCGATCAACCAAAAAATCAGTTAACCGAAAGCGATCCAGTCAGCAAATTCAAATTTCTCTAGTGCTGTGGTACTGCAATATTTGGCTATGTCTTGGCCTACTCTAATATTATTTTTGTTGGTGTGTGTGTTTTAGCTGGCAGCACTGGCACAACCATATTGTATCGTTAAAAATTATTTCTTTATTTTGCACAAACAAAATAAATATATTGAAAAATATAAAAACAAAAAAAATTATATTTTGAAAGTTAATCTAGTATCAAAAACATTCGATTCAGCACAACACAGTCCAACTGGAACGCTTTCGGTTAACCGATGTTTTGGTTCATCAGCTTTCAAATAAATGACACTCTACTGTATTTTTAAAAATTTCTGACTAAAGAAAATAAATTACATAGTTTAAAAATAAATACATACTTCTGATGATCCATTGACATTTTCAGTGTTTTGCACTACTTCTGAATTTAACTCTTCCTTTTCTCCTTCTTTCTCTCCTTTGATTTCCTCCTCAGAAAGTGCTTGATGTTCTTCAGTAGAATCATCATCTGTATTTTGAACAGACTGATTTGTAAAATAACCACAGTCTTGAATTTTCATCAATGTTTCTTTTAAATGCTTATCTAACAAATTGTTAAAGATAAAACTCTTAAGTAATTTTTTGAAATTAAGAACTAACAAATTTAATGAATTATTCAAAATATTATTTAATAAATCAGATAGGATACAAGTCATCCCCAAAATGCTTCGATTTTTTGCCTCTAAGAGGGCAACAAAATGTTCTGCAGCAGATGAAAAATAGTTCTCATATGATTGACAGTTAATACCGTTTTCATCAAATCTCTGAGAATGTCCCGGGAAATCCGACTCCAGCTGTGTTCAAGGTCATCCAGCTGTGTAAACAATAACTCATCGGTGTTAAATTTCACAGAAAGGCGAGTAAAAAAAAAATAAAATTTGAAGCTTTTTCTTCAAAATTAACGCATTTCTTTCGTTTTTTTTCAGGTTTAAGTATTTTTTATGTTTAATTACAATTATATCAAAAACTGCTGGGAACTTAAGAGGTTAATAGCTTTCCTGAATTGATGAATTAAAGAAGTAAAATATTCACCAGTGACAGTGGTATTGCATTCTTTGAAATCAATCAGAGGCATCCCTTAGAATTTCCAAAAATATCATGCTCATGATTTTCTTTGATTGAATTGTGTTACCTTTGATTTCTTGGNTAAATATATTGAAAAATATAAAAACAAAAAAAATTATATTTTGAAAGTTAATCTAGTATCAAAAGCATTCCAATTCAGCATGACACATGTTGAGAGGGTACTTAAGGATACACCAGTATTTGAACGAGGCTTTTTTCCCCATCGTGAGTGGTGTGTTTCTCTTCAGATTCACAGAGAATATAGCCCAAGTGTCTGACATCTCCAGATAAACTCAAGAAAAAGAAAGAGTTTTGCTTGTTTTGTGTGGTGTTTTTCTGAGAACTGTGTTGTCAGGACGTGTGTCATGCTGAATTGGAACATTTTTGATACTAGATTAACTTCCAAAATATATTATTTTTTTGTTTTTATATTTTTTAATATATTTATTTTGTTGGTGCAAAATAAAGAAATGATTTTTAATGATACGATTATTATTTTTAAAAAATTTTCATTAGACTTAGCATTGATGAAAATTCGACACAAAGCGACACGCAATGGAGAAAAATTTCAACACGGGATAGATTAATATATCTTTTCATACATGATCAGTTATCCGAACTACCCTGGTCCCGAATTGTTTCGGATAATCGATGCTCTACTGTATTATTATTATAATAATGTTAATGAAATTAATAACAGTTTAAGTTTTAAGCAAAGCATTTAATGAAATCTGAAATTAAAAATTATCTGGTTTAATTATTTCTTTTAGGTTTCTGTCATTGCAGCATATAAGAGTTTTGATATGATAACATTCTAAGCAATAAATTTTAACATTAATTCCAAAGATGATTAATTTATTATAAATAATAATACTTATTTTGTTTATTTACATAATTGGTTCTTTTTAGGCTAATACAGTTCAACAAATTTTAAAAAATTCATACAAATCTACAGAGAAGTAAGATATTAATTTATATTTATTGAAATTTTAATATATTTGAAACTATTTCATTGAATAATAAATTTTTTTTTCTAGATTAGATCCGTTAGAGTTAGATGTTTTATTAGCTGAAGTCACACTTTTGAATACCAGAACAGAACTTTATTTTAGATTCATTAGGCGTAGAGTAACAGTAAGCATTTTGATAATTTTGTTTATATTTATAAGTTATTTTTTGCAGAATATTGAATTCTATATTTTATTAAAAATATCCAGCTTTTTTTTATTAATTTAATTTGGAAATTCCTGTAGTTAAAGTAATTTAAAATAGATATATTTTAAATTTTAAGTAGTATTTTTTTTTTTTTCATTTAAAATTTTAATATCTTTTAGGGAGATGTTGAAATTGCTGCATTGGATGAAAAGTCAAGAGAAGGTAAATTGGTTATTAAATTTAATCTCTATTGTTCTTCTAAAACTTTATAAAATGTAGAATAAAGTATTGAGTTGGGAAATATTTTGTGCTTTAATTTTGTTCATGTTTATTCTTCTCATATATGTTACTTTATTAAAATTGAGATATAATTATGAATTCTCTAAAAATTATATAAAGTTTATTCTTAAGCAGTTATTTAAAAATTATTCCAATATTTTCTTAAATTTTTTTATAGTCTTATTTTGTCTATAGTCTTATTTTATAGTCTTATTTTGCCAACTATAACAAGAAATACTATGAATCATTAAAGAAAAACAAGCTAACATATATCTTCTATTAATTTTTTACTACTTTTGCAAATATTGCAAGAATAAAAGCATTAAAATTTAATAGCATCAACTTTTATTTCTAGATTAGCTTTTCATTTTTTTGGTAAATATCAATATTTTCTGTATAAATTAAACAGTTACAATACTTGAATTTATACATTTAATTAGATAGAAATATTTTATCTCTCTCTCAAAATAATTAAATCATCTAATTCAACTGTTTGATAATGAATTATCTTTATAAAGCACATTATAAGAATATTTTAAATGTTAGACATTTAAAATATTCTTATAATGTTTTTTCAAATTACTTGTCTTGCATGCACATGGAAAATATAAATTACACATGTACATACAGTTTACAGAATTATACAATAATACAAAATATGATGATATTTAAAAGAAAAACCTCAAGAATAAAATTGTATTAAAGTAAAATACATATATAATAATAATAAATTAAACAGTCAATAAACAAATAATAAATGTACAGTGGCACTAATGTCACTACGAGATGTTTTATCAGAACTATGTGATTTACAATTTTAGAAAATTATACAGTGCTATCCACAACTCTGGTATATCTAGCATGAGAGAATTGCACAGTGATAATGTTGAGAAAAAATACATGTATTTATTCTTACAATTAAAATCATTTTGTTTATTGAAATTTTTAAATGAGTTTATAAATTGTTGTTATAAACAGGCTTAAAACAACAATTTTTTTTTACCTATTCTAAGTTTGCTTTTTATGTTTTACAAATAACATTTTATTTGATCATCTTGTAGCATAAGAATTAATGAAAATGCAAGTTTTGTTTGTATAAAATTTTATTTAATTATTAATCTGTTAAATCAATTAAAAATATAATATTCTTAACATTTGTTGCTGATCAATTTATTAATCTTAATGTTATTTATGTAGTGTTTATGTTTTTTCATATATGAATGATATTTAGATGACATTTTAGAATACAAAAATGCATTAAGTTTTCTCTGTGAAGATTAATTTGAAATAGGAGTCTTGTTTAAGTTGTTTTTACCTTATCAATGAATTTCTAGGAATGAATTATATCTGCTAAAATTAATTTTTTATAATGGTAAAAAAAGCATTAAAAAAAGAATTTTTGGATTAAATTGAAATTTACAGAAATATTTATCTTATTTTTTCTTAATATTAACCACTCAGCCACTCAGCACACATTATTACATTTGTACATTCTGAAAATGATGTCATGAAATTTTCTATAAGTTTTTCGGAGTAGATTATTAATATTTTATTAAGTGATTCAGTAATTAATATATAGTAATTATTAATTTTTTTAAAATTTTAAATTAAAAATATTAAAAATTATAGTTTTGATTATAGAGTTGATTTAAATTTTATTAATAAGTTAACAATGTTTTGTGTTATCTTCTGAAATATTAAAATTTTTATTTCAGAACAATTGAAACAATTAGATTGCTTAATTATGGAATGCGAATTAAGTCAATCTATGCAAGAATTATTAGGAATGTATATTATGATGGAAGAATATTTTATGCAAGAATCTGTGAATAAGGTATGATTTTTAAGTTAAAAATTTTTTAGAGATGCAATACAGATATACTTAAATATAAGTTATTATAATTCTTTTTACATAAATACAAATATAAATATTGATTAACCTGATTTTTAGATTAATGCCAAATAATTACTGGATTATATTGGACTACATTAATTAGAAAGGTGTTTCAAGTTGTGGGCACTGAAGGCATCCCCAGTCAGTGCTGTGGGTAGCCTGTATGGTTATATCTAAATTAATAGTTCTTGAAAAGAAGATTGGATGGAGATTCAGGTAGTGTAACTGGCAATGTATCTTCACAGCAAGTGGGAGTTGCAGCTTCAAGTCCCACTCCAGACCAATTTTTTTCTTCCAGAACCATCTAAATTAATTATTAAATTTATCAAAAGATGGTGCCCAATGCCTACCTCTATTACTTTTCATTTAATTATTAATAGTATCATGAATATAGTCTGATATAATCTAATAATCATTTGACATAAATAAAATTGTCATGCCAATTAACTAAATTACTAAATAATTTGTTTTTAATTATTTTTTTTAATTAAAAACAAATTATTTAGTAATCTAACAATAAGTTACTAAACAAATTTAACAATAAATTAAAAACAAAGTGGCATTAATTTTACTTTTCTCGAAAATGAAAGATCATTGACATTATCTTATTTTAATAACTAATTTAGTTTGAATATAATAAGTAAAGTTATCATTGACTTATGATTATCATCCTTAAACATAACAGTACAAAAGAGGCCCTGTTAAATTGCAATAGATAAACAATAAAAATGAAAATAAAAAAAGGCAGCCATCTGATAAAACAGTTTAAAATGAGCTATAATAAAATTAGTCATAGCACAAACAATGTATATGTATAATAGATAAAATGAGATACAATACAAAATAGATATCTAAGCTATGCACTTCAGTATAAGTTATATTTACAAAATTTCTTAAAATGTATAAAATTATAAAGTAAACAATTTTCAAATGGAGAAATATTAGAGACATCATAAGAAAAAAAATCTTTTGAAAACACACAACCTGTATAAATTGGGCAAAGACAGGACATGTTCCAGATAGTGTGACTGGATACATGTAAAAAATTTTGTCAGATGGAACATCATGAAAGTATTTAAAATATAAGATATGATCAGAATATTCCTTTCAAGCTTAAAGTATGCCTAATTTAAATTTTAAAATATTTCATCTTATTTTCAGAAAATAAGAGATTTATCTCAAGAGAAATAATAGATTTAACTTTAAAATAATATTTTAATTTCTGTTTTTATCATAAAAAATATACAAATTTAAAAATAATAATTAATCTATCGATTGAGTTTGTTATTCAAATATGTGTGAAAAATAATTAAAATGATCATTACTGTTTGTAATGACTAGGTTTACTGTCTTGAGTCAAAATAATCAGATCAGTATCTACCAAGAAATTAAGAAGATAATCTCCTCTGGGATTTTCACTGAATTAGTCAAACTCCTAACCTGACTTCTGAACACTCAGAAAGGAGCCCTGGGAGTTTAGGGATTCTCCATAAATACCTGGGGCTGTATTAGAACTGTATCAATGTTCTTTGTGAGCACACAGAGACTCAACACTGCAAGAGCTGCCTTGTAGTGTTGGAGATTAATTTGGATATATCTAATCACAATAAAGATTTACACTTATAAGGAGTTCTGCACTTTATGTAGCTGCTGCTGGCTCTGAAAGTGCTTGTTTAATTCTGTAGCAGTAGTCATGCAAATAAGTCCAGAAGTTGCTAATTGTGAGCCAACAGCCGTGGACCTGCTGCTGGCATGCATGTAATGCATGATACAATGAAATGTTGCCTAGTGCCTTGATGAAATAGTCTGCAGCAGCTGTTATACTAGCCCTTTATACTATATACCTTCCAGCTGTCAGCATGATTCCTCCCACTTTCGCATTGGCGGGTGCCCCTCTTAGTTTGATCTGACCACAGCTATCAAGCGAGGAAGACCCCATTGAGAGGCTGCAACACAATCACTAAGCCCCCACTAAAACAAAATGGAGACATAATGAGACAGATTTTTACTAATAAATGTGGATCAAATGCTTATTCTATGATAAGAATGCATTATCTGTTATACAAATCTATAAAAAATATTTTTTTTAAAATTGTTTTTATATATTTTATCTAGAACTATTAAATTCCAACTATTATATAAAAAATACTTGATTTAATAAATAAATTCTGAAAATGGCATTTAATAATAGAAATAATTTCTTTAATTTCAAAATACATTTACAAAGTATAATTATGATCTAAAAGTCTAAAATGTTTTTTTAGGAGGACAGTAAGCAGTTCTAGTGTAGATGGAATATGTGCAGTGTTAAATAATACATGTACACTATTGCAATCAAATTTTTGTACTGTTATTAATGATCGCCTGAAACAGGGTTTTCCATCTGGAATGCTTGATTTGAGTCAGGCTTATAATGTGCTTCAGTCTAGTATCCAACAAGGAAGATTACAATCATCAGATACAGATAGTGCTCGAATTATGTTTCTTGTAAGTATATTAAAAAAAAACCAGAATAAATTTTAATTTTAAACTTTCACAATATATATATCATCATTAAAATTTTAATTAAAATAATATTCTGCTTGGAAATAATATTCATGTTATATTATAAAAACATTTTAATAATTGTGTCTATATTTTATCGTATCTAAATATAGAATAACACACTAAGATCATTCTAAGTCAAAACATATTTTTTCAGCCTCAAACTTTTTGTATGATATGTTCTTTGACAGATTAATGTAATTTTGCTTTTAATATATGATATTTGAAAATTTATTATCTTTGAATTCCAGTTCTTTCTAATACATGAATACTGTTTTTATGTCAGCAAAATTTATTTAAGATATTAATTCATGTTCTACCTTCATATCATTCTTTGAAGGTAATTTGTATTTACAAGCACCTTAATTTAATTTTACTATTAATAAAGATAAACTTTACACATTTTATCTTTATTAATTCATAAATATTTTTGTAAAATTTACTAAAATAATTGTTGGATTAATAATGTAATTAAGATATCACTTTAAAATGATATTTTCATTATATTATTTATCTAATATTTACACTAATTTGGTTTCACCAGTTGTTGTTGTTGTTGTTGTTGTTGTTGTTTGGAAAATCCTATTTCACAAAAATATTTTTAATACTTCTATAAATCAAATATAAAAAATATTTTAATATTTCTATTAAATTCAATTAAATTTAATGTGAAATTATACAAATAAAAATACTTGTTATAAATTCTTAAATAAACCAATAATTTAATTTTGTTATCTAGTTATCTGACAAAATGAACTGAAATATGAATTAGATTATTACCAGAATATTTTCAAATACAGAAAACAAAAACTCATTCTAAAAAAATGTGTAACAAAGTGTAATTTTCTGAAATAAGTTATTTCTCATAAAATATATATCTTATTTTGATTGAAAAGTTAATTAGACAAAGCCAAAAAATTTGCTTCCTAAATAAAAAAAATATTTAGTTAAGCTGTAAATAAAGTTGTAAGCAGTATTCCTGAGACACATGATTTATATAAAGAGAGAAGAAATTTAGAATTTACAGTATAGTCTTTTCAAGTGTACTAAATAATGAATACAAACATTATTTTCTTATTAATTTTTGTAAAACTATTTGTTTTTCAGACTACTCTTAATAATGCAGAAGTTGCATGTGAACATATCAGAACACTTCGTAAAACTTTAGAAGTATATAAATTTTAATTAATTAAACATATCTCTTTAACTAAGTAAGATAATTTATTTTATTTGTTGTTTAATTAAGGAAGAAATGAATAAAGTTTTTAGTCAAGCATCTGAAGCAGAGAAAGCCAAATTGGAAGTATGAATTATTTTTTTAATATTGTTTATATATTTCTATAAACGTATTACTTATTAAGTATTTTCCCCTCTACATCTAAACAAATACTTTGATCATAATTAGAACTTTTCTGATAGTTCTGTTTGTAGTGAATTAAATGTCTGATTAAAGACTACTGTTTTTTAATATAATTAATATTTGTTTTAAGAAAATAGTTGATGAATTTTACACAAAGTGTTAAAGAGGCCACACAGATGGCCAAAATATTAATGTGGATAGTAGATGAAATTAAACCACGTTCCAAAAACCCTTGACAGTCTTTATGATTGGTAGAAGGCAAAAAATGATACAATCATATTCCTTGCAAATTCAAATAATAATATTACAGGTTATCATCATTCTTACTGAATGTTAACATTCTGAATTTTGTATATGAATGTCATTTCTTGTAGATAAGAATCTATATTATATATATATTAGTAATATTTATCAGGGTGTTTATATATCTAATTATACATATAAAGATCTATTTATAGAGATCTTTATATGTATAATTAGATATACAAACACCCTAATAAATATTACTAATTAAACATAACAGCAGGATTTTTATCAGGCTACTATGAGGCTAATTAATCAATTAGATATTAAGCAATTTGGACTAGTGATTTCCTATTATGCCTATAAGCTGTCATCTTGTGTTTAGAAATAAATCATTTATTTTTAATTTATTTCTAATTAATAAATTTAGCACCCCAAGACATAACAGCCAATGATGAAGTTTACTATGCTTATTCAGTTCCAATTTAATTCCTTCTGTCTTCAAAAAATTTATATCTATTTTAGCAACTATTCTTTCTCCACATAATTCATATTTTTCTTATAAATAAATTGTCTCATCTACCTTACATTGACTCATCTGATGTAGCTCGAATTTGTCTATGACTCTCTGGTATTTTTAAATGTGTTACTTACTTTCAGTCAGTTATTCACATATAAATACTACGGTGGCTTGCTTCCTTCACAGTATATTAATTTAAAAATTCCATATGCTCATACTAGAAATATTTCATGTTTTTATGTTCCTTTCTATCACCTTAATATTATAATAAGATCTTTCTATTCTTGTTGTTATAAACTAGTTATTAATATACAAAATATGCTATATATAGAGTACCATTTATACAAATCCAGTGATAAATGAATATTACATATCATTTAATTTTTGCTTTTCTATATGTATTATTTTACTGTTTTATATTACTTTTAATGGGAATTGTTATGTAAATTTGTTACATGTGAGAGGTTAATATTGTCCTTGTGACATTGTCTTCTTATTAAATAAATAATTAATTAATTAGTCTCATATTTGCCCAATACGAATCCAGTTGTGATGCTCGATTAGAAATCTTTATATATGTTATATAATCTATATTTATTCTATATTTTTCACCAGAAATTTTTCAAGTATTAAAATTATATATAAAATTAATTTTAATGGTTTTCATGCTTTTTTATAGTTGTTTTCCACTTTCATAATTTTTATAGAATAATTTTATTTTTATTTTATGATGTTAATGTAAAAATTGCATTTTTTTTAATACTAAAATTTGATCAAAGTAAAAAAACTATATTTATTTTACAGAGTTGTCTTTCTGATTTAAGTGGTGTTACTTCAAAATTTCAAACAATTCTTAATAATGGAATGAGCCAGTTATGTTCTACTGCAGTTAAACCTCGCATTAAACCTTGGGTTGATACATTTCAATCAAGAAGCCATATTATAACTGAGGTATACCTTCAAATATGTTAGATTTAATTGAAATAAATCATAAAATTGTTAGTGCTCTTTATTAATAATTTGTTTTATTAATTAGAACAAAACTAATTATCAGAGATTACAGATTTAAATTTAGTTAGTTTACTTGATGATTTTGGAAATTGTTCTTTCCAATATCTATATATTAAATGTAATTTTGACAAAATTTAAGAAAATTCAAAATGCTATCAATGGAGATTTTTAAAGATTGCTATTTTATATAAAAGAAATTAATGTATTTTTTAACTGTAAGAAACAAAGAAAATTGTATATTTAATACCACTGACTATAAAGTTTTATATATGAATAATAAATAGTTTATTTAAATCAAGATTGCATTTAAGTCTTGAAAAGTTCATAATAGGAAACACATTATTACTATTATAAATTTTTTCATTTTGTGTTTATTTTCAAAATCTATATATTTTGGAAACATTATTATATTTTGAATTTTATAACATTTGCCAAATATGTTAAAATTAATTTTATCATTATAAAGCTAACTGTTTTTTGTAATGAGCTTTAAGCATTTAACGACATTATTTATGCACGGTGGTTCAAAAGGTTGGTCTCAATCTTCAGAAATATATAGAGGGGTTCAAATAAGAAGATGTATTTACTGATGTAATTCCGAGTCAGTGTAAGCCATCTAATGTAAGGAACTATACTGCAGATAGCATGACAACATAAAACACACTAATGAATGAATGTTTAATAATAAAACAAAGAGTACATTAATGTAAATGTAATACATATGAAAGAGTGCTGTTACAAAAGTTGCTCGAATTGGTGACTCCCACATTCAATGCAGCATTGCATTTTCAAAGGAAATTCTGGTGCACCATCACAAATATCCAGACATCTGGACCATATCTACTACTGCAAGAATTCTGGCTATAACAGTGTTTTGGGTCTTCCAATGTCTCATAAATGTGACTTTTGATATGCCCCAAAAAATTTATATTAGATGGCTTGTACTGACTCAGAATTACACTAGCAAACACAAATTCCTTTTTGAAAGCTGCTACATTTCAATCCCTGTATACACTCCTAAAGTTTGAGACCAACCTTTTGAATCTGATTAATTTAATACCTGTTATAACCTTTAATATTAGTTGAATTACTATAAAAACTGGTTTATTTATCTGTCACAAGTTATTTTTTTTATGAAAATCAAAATTAAGTTATATTTGACATAAAATTAAAATATAGCCCAAGGATGGCAAACCTATTTGAGCAAGCATGCCATATAGTAAGCATGCTTAACTTTAAAATTTTGTCACATATAAAATGTGACAAAGTTTTAAACTTCGAAGAACAATATTTTAAAAATTAAATGAATATGCTTTAATTGGAATAAATGTGAATGAGCTGATTGAAAAAGAGTACGATCGGGTGAAAAGCTGAAAGAATAGATTGAAAAAGACAGATGACAAATCAAAATTGTAGGATAAGTTGTGTGCCAGATGATTTTTCCTTATGTGCCATTTTGGGCATGCATCTGATAGGTTTGCCACTCCTGTTTATAGCCTAATAATAATATATTATTAGGTCCAGGTGATATTATGAAAAAATTGAATATGAAAAGCAAAGGAAAAGAAAAAGAAACATGTTGTACATAATGTTATATCAAAGTACCATTTATATATTAAAATAAAAATTAAAAAAAAAAAAATAATTGTGGCCAATATTTATGTTAACACACCTAAGATATAGTAGAGTTGTATAACTGTTATGTTGTATGCTTCTATTACTGAGATGCTGTTCTTTTGAGAATTTTTATTGTTGTATTATTTCTAAGGGAATGAGTTTCTTTAACTTATTTATGAAAAACTAGCAGATGAATCCAGCGTTACTCGGGAAAAAAGTATTGATAGAGAAAATTAAGATTATTAGATTATAGCCAATCTTACCCATTTTCACCGAGTGCAAGAATTAGGTCCCCTCTTCCAAGACTAATTAGAAAATTTTTAGATATCTGCTTACCACACCGGGATGACGATAATTAAGACTCACTGCAACCATTAACCGGTGCGTAGTACCACTAAGTGATGAATAATAAACATTTTCATAACTCTTTCTGGGTTCTTCTTCAGGTTTACTAAATTCGAAAAATAAGCTGGATCTTCCAGAATCATTCCTAAATATAAAATCAAACATTAAGATGAAGAGTTTGAATAAAGCAAACTTATGCACATGTGCTCTTCATGTCAACTTTATATACGATGGAATAGTAAATATCATTGAGAATTTTTAGAAGGGTCTAAAAATACATTTGATTTTTTGCATAAATGCAAAAACTGCATCTAAAATAGTATAATAGAAGCCAAGTTCTTCATGGTAATTCTTAATCTTGTCCCTCTCCCCACAAGGAGGGAATTTCAAAAAATCCCTTCTTAGTGTATGCTCTCATGACGTACTCTAACTGTGTACCAAATTTCAACTTTCAACTCCTAACCGTTTGGGTTCTGCACTTATTATTATTATCATTATTATGAACCCATCTCGATTATATTATGAGTTTTATTCTTTATTTTTCTATGTTTCATTTTTCTGAGGTAAGTCATCTACAGGTTGTTGCTATGGTAGTGAAACTGCAGCCTTCTAGATCTTTACTGTGGCTTCTGTATATTTATATAATTTATTTTATAATAATTCTTTTATAATCTTAAAAAGTAATTATAAAAGTATTACACATATGTAATACTTTTTAAAATTTTCTGACTATTATGTTATGTGATATACACATGAATTGTAAGCATAATTACAACTTAACCTTGAACAGACAACTGAAAAGCTAAAGACATATTTGTAAAGTTGAAGGAGTTAAACAAATGTTTACCTAGTTTTGTCATAAAGTACAAGTAAAGAAACAGTAATGTTCCCTATTGAATTGAGATAACTACTCTGTATAGTATATTAAGTGTATGTAAAGTAAAATATCATTACAATAGAAGATGAGGCTGTCACATATTCCTGATAGGCAATATATAGCTCTTGTTTGGCCATCTTTGTCATTTTATATTTTTTCTACACTGAAAGGACATTTGAAACTAATTTATATAATGAGTATTTGTTTTATATTCATTAATATTTAAATTTATAATATTTTTAATATTTAGGAAGAATTTATTCAGTACGAAGCAAATGATGGAATGAGACCATTTGTTCAAAGTTTTATGTTGAATATTGATAGTTTATTGAAATCTTTTAAAGTAAGAAATTTTTTACATAATTTTTATAGATTCAAAGATTTGGTTTTTGTTATTACTAATTTATTAAAAACTTTTATAGGAAAGCTTGACTCCCACAAATTATGATACATTAGTGAGTTATCTGACTACTGAATTAACTCACCAATTGGAAAAAGTGATTAAAAAGTGTACTTTTAACAGAGTAGGTATTAATTTTAAGTTTATAAGTTTATAAATGAAAGTTAAAAAGTAGTACTTAACAGAAATTTTATCATGTACTTCAGCTTGGAGGCTTGCAGTTTGATCGAGAACTCAGATCACTCGTTTCATATTTAACGTCTGTAACTACTTGGACTATACGAGATAAATTTGCAAGATTAACACAGATTGCAACAATTTTAAATCTGGAAACAGTAAGCACAATTTAAAAGTTAATATTTAGTACAAAAATTTACAAATTTAATTTTAATTTATTTATATACAGGTTACAGAAATATTAGATCTCTGGGGTCCAAATTCTGGTTCTTTAACTTGGAGACTGACACCAAGTGAAGTGAGACAAATATTAGCTTTGAGGTAAATTTTGAATATTATTATTTATAAATCAGTATTCTTGCAAAAGAGAAGTTTTTATTGAGTTATTAAACTTTAAAAATACCATGTTAATGCATTATATTAATTTTCTATTTATTCAGTACTTGTTGTGATATATGCATGAAATTATACTTTCTCATGTTTATTATAGTAAATATAGATTATTTTAGTAGGGCCTTGTTTTATGTTGGATTAATGTATGCAGATTTGTGTTTTGCAGATGGTAAATGATTATGTTAACCCTTGGATGAACAGGGTTAATTCTGATTAATGCCCAAGCTATTTTTATTATGAAATCTGTATATATAGTAAAATCAACTGTGAAATGTTTTAAACAGATGATTTTTCTATTAATTGTAAATATTTACATAAATGGGGAGCACTCTAGTCTTCAACGTTACTGGCGTCTTTTTTCTCCAGGTAGTTAAGTTTTAATAATAAACAATTTAATGGATTTTTTGCTGTTAAATTTGGTGAAAATTAACAAAAATAAGTTCATATTAATACTACTATTAATTTTTGGGATTGAAACAAACCCTGGTCCTATGCAAAGATCTCTGGCAAAAAGAGGAAGACCGCCTTTAAATTGACAAAAACAACTTTCTAGTAAAGCAACTTCTTCAGATTTGGATACGAAACTAATTACTGAATTTACTGAAGCTAGGAAATCTGATTCTCCCATTTAATCAGGTGAGCAAGTTAAGTCAAATTCTTTGCAAGATTTATCAACAGTGGAAAGTGAAGACATTACAACTGCAGATCCATGGTCAAAAATTGTTGAACTGATTACTTTGAGTAACGAAAGATTTGTTAGTCAAATTTCATTGATTAGAGAAGAAATTAATGTTATACAAAATGATTTTAAAGACTAAAAACCAACTGCAATTAATTAATGAAAGAAATAAAAAAATGGATATAGAAATTACTAAATTAAAAATAGAAAAAGAATTAATTCAATATAAATTACATACTTTAGTAAATAATACTAATAGAAATAAAATAATAATATATAATTATCCAACCACCATTAAAGAAGAATCAAAAACAGAAATATTTAATTTTTTTACAAAAATTCTAAAATTAAGAGAATATTGAACTAGAAGATATAAAATATATATATTCTATACCTAATTCCAAAATTAGTATTATATTATATTAGTATTAAGAGAGTTGATCACTTAAGAAATAGAATATTTTCAGCTTTTAACAAGTTTAAACAAAGTAAGGAATTAATAGAATGACAAAAGATTAATATGTCTGCAGATCTAGTTAAAAATTCTCGTAAAAGGAATAAATTACTTTTGCCTTTTTATAATGACTTTAAAAAACAAGGTATCCAAGTAAAACTTTGTTACGACTAATAATTAATCACTTAAAAGTCACCTATTGTTATATGCAGAATCAATTGGTAAATGTTGAAGATTTTTTGTTGTTTTCTCCTTTGAAAAGTCCAATACTGTAAATATGTTGTTGTAATGAAATGAATCTTAAAGGTAATCAACATTTTTCAGAAAAACTAAAATTAAAAACAATAAATTGAAACTGTCAGGAAAAACAATTGACTAATTTATTTAATGTTGAGAATACTAACGTTAACAATAATAGTAATGATAAGTTTGGCGATATTTATTCAACATTATACATTTGATCTGAGATCAAGGTCATTAATTGGAATACCCAATGTGTTAGAAATAAGTTTTTTTCTGTCTGTTTCAAAAATTATTAGAAATTTATGATATCATAGGACTAGAAGAGACTTGGATTACTAAGTTAACTGAAAAGGATAAAACTCTTGCAAGGATCATTCGACTAGATTATGGTTTCAGCAATAAAAAACCTGGAGTCGGTAGGCTGAAGGAAGGAATAATGCTATTGGTAAACAAATCTTTGGGAAAGTTGGTTCATTCCTATTGGAGTACTTACTTAATATTTGCTATGATTAAATTAGAAAATCATAAATTTAATATGTTCCCCAATAATTGTTTGGCAATAATTATTAATTATACTCCTCCCTATGAAACTCCAAAGAGCATTTGAAGAAAGCGAGAAAACCTTTTTGAACTGGTCATATTTTACCTCGTTATAGCTACTTCTTGGGGATTTCAATGCCAGAATTGGAAACGAATGTGATTCAATCTATAATGGGAATAATCTGGTGGTTTATAATACAAGAAGTCATGATACAGGAGTCAATAAGAAAGGAAATTTATTAATTAAATTTGCCAAAAGTCATGATTTCTTTATTTTAAATGATCATATGATAGAGGATTATCCTGGTAGACATACCTTTATTTTGTCAAGAGGTGCATTGGTGATTGACTATATCATATGTTCTGAATTTATCTTGGACTATTGTGTTGAATTCAAGGTACTCGATAATGATTTATCAGATCACTTTCCAATACAATTGACTATTAGATTAAATTTAAATTTACCGCTGTCTAATGAGAAGATAAGTAAAGGAGTCAATTTACAAATGAAGAAATATAAATATAACATTAAAAAATTTGAATCTGAAATAGGTGATAGAACGAAACTAGTTCATAAGGCAGGTTTCGGAGAAATATATAAGTAAATTAAGTGAAATTTTCAGTGATTATATAATCAAACTGAGTCCAGATAGAAATTAAATACCTAAATAGAATGACATCTAAGTTTAAACAGGAATGGTTTGATTTGGACTGTTATAAAGCCAAAGACTCAAAGTTTGGTAATATTTTATAAAAATAGAACAAGAGCACTATTAATTGAATATATTAGTTCAAAAGAAAGATATAACAATCTTATAAATGCAAAGAAAAAAAGCTATTTTAATGTGCTGAATAAGAAACTTTTAATAGACAAGAACACCACCTTTTAGTCAACAGTAAAAAAAATATCATCCAAGAACAGGATGGAAAATCAAGAATATATTGATTTTGTCAAATGGTTTGATTTTTTTTCAAGGAGAGGAAATCAGATATGACAATTAGTCCATTAGAAATAGATGTAGCTATTATATATGGGGAGGAGATAATGGTGATGAACCTGTCAATTCAGGCCTCTGAAATAGCAAACATTATTAGTAAACTAAGTGAAACTACTACTGTTGGATCTAATTTAATTCCAGTCAGTTTTCTGAAACAATTACCAATTGAAGTGACAGAATTTTCAGCACTCAGCTATATTTACATATATGAATATGGCATTTTTCCTGAATCGTGATGTTCTGCATACTTTCGGATGATATATAGAAAGGGTGAGAAGTCAAATCCTAGTAATTATAGACCCATTGCTATATTGCTAATATTAAGAAAAATTTTTACATCAGTTCTTGCTAATAGGTTTGAACAATGGACAAGATGGATTGGCTGTCTTACTTTGAGAAAATTCAATTATTACTTATAAGAAAAATTTATTGTTTGGACCTGGATACACAAATTTGTTATGATACTAATAGGTTACAGATAGAGCCTTTCATGGTAATAAGGATAATGAAATTCTATAAAAGAATAGCCAATGGTGAGAATATACTGTTAAATAATATATTGGAAGAGCTCAAAAGGAATTACACCAATAATTGGTACAATAAATTTAGTTGTATGCTGGCCAGATACAGGATATCACATATATTGTTTAACAATACAGAAGCAGATTGGAACTTCGGATTTACTACCTTAGTGGAAAATATGTTTAATAACTCACTCGATCAAATTTCATTCATGATATATTAATAATTTAAATTTTTTACCTTTAAACCAGCAGTTCCCAACTTTTTTTTCATTAGTGTATCCCCCCGTGACATTTCCAACTTCCCAACGAGCAACGCATGAGCAAATCTCACACTGCCTGTTTGTAAAGTGTGTCACCATTTTGAATTTTATTTTGACTCAGTTCTTGGTCCCCCAAGTACCTACAAGTCTGGTTTTTTTTTATGCGCGCATGATTTGGGCACCTAATACTTTGTGCCAAATTGCAACGTTTGACATGTACTCCTTCATACCTCTAAGCTGGTAACACAGCAGGCAGTAAGACTATATAAACAAGACATAGTCTTGTCGATAAAAAATTAATAAAAATACTGAATAAATAATGAAAAAAATTTACAGCTTGTAGAGAAAATCTGGAGAAACTAGCTATGTCCTTTTCCTTGCTAACAATAAAAAATACTTTTTATAAACAAAAAAATACTTTTTCAAACAACACGTGGGGATATTGTTGAGAGATAATAATAATACCGGTAACACATCCCACCATCAAAAGTCTGTAGCATAATCACTAATCACACATAATGGTATCCCCACTACCATTGACCAACAGCGCAACATTTACTGATCTGTTGCATTGTACAATCAGCAGCATAAGTTTTTATTTCTATTTTTGCATTTTGAAATGTATAATAAAGTTTGTGAATGTTGCAAGGAATATTTTTTACCTAATAATTTTTTAATACTATTAATTTGTGATACATAATACTGTATATTATTTTTTCTGCCATATAATAATTAACTTTGTTTTGTACCTCTAAACAACCTATCGCGTACCCCGGGTTGGGGATCGCTGCTTTAAATGATTATGTAAATTATCAAATCGCGTTTAAGATGAAGAAGTTTTATATACCACTTAGATTGAACAGTTTCTGTATAATAGTTGACACAAACTATCTAAATATTAAGAATACTCAATGCAGAATGTTAAGACTAATTTTCCATTTACCATTTAATTTGTAAATGTAATAAATATAAAAATCTTAGAGAACAATTTAGTACAGTATTTCTACTTATTATATGTAAATCTATGGAAGATCTATATCACAAATTATTTCTAATGGATCTAATTATGATGATAAGAGTGTACAACTTTTTCAATAAATATATTAAACTGTCAGAGGATTCCAATGGCAAAACAGAAAACGAGCCCTAAACCTATACTCACTGAATTAATAGTATGTAATCAAGTGTTACGGAAAATCTCCAACACTAGAGGAAATTGTATTTTATTTTCACCTAACTTTAGACTGTAGTTTTACAATTTAATGTATCCCCTTGTAATTGGATAAATTTCAAAATACACTAACAAATTTGAATTTGAATATTTACATAAATGTTTAAGCAGTCATCTAGAACTATAGAATTACTAGGGATTGATCACAAATATACATAGAATTTTATTTTTCACAGTACTGGCTGATATGTAACCTCTGCATAAAATGTGGCTAAACTATATTTAATTTATAAACTTTATTGTGAAAATTATATGAAAGAATGGAAAATTGAAATTTTGATGTATGAATTAAGTTAAAGGTTAAAACTCTAAAGGAAGCATGATAAACTTACAACCTAATAATGCATGCAACATTTCCACATTAAAACTTGCAACTGTATGAAATCATTCCTTGTCTGACAAACAAATATAATTCTCTCCAAGGTTTTGTAAAAGAAAGACAAATGTTAATATTACAAAATTTGTTTACTTTCATTTAAAATTTAAATCATCATTCAAATTTGTTGTGTATTTTTGAAGAAGCTTTTCTTGCCAAAAAGTAAAAGTGCTTTTAAGTTAAAGAATCTCTTTCTATCATGGATAATGTGAAATTATTCCTTTTGATTTATTGTCCACAAGATAAAGTAGGAAAGTTAATTCAATAGTAAACAAACAATCCATTATAACATTTCTTATTTGCAAAATTTGACCTATTATTTATTTATACAGTATTTACTTTAATCTTATATTAATGTATTATCATAATGAAATTGAAGAATCTCTCTATATAAAAAAAATAAAAAATTCCCAGTATATTCTCGAACAAATGATATATAACTAAAATATTAATAGAAAATAATACTGACATATGTTAGTTTCCTACAAGATAATATATATTTAATGAATTGTAAATACAAATTATTCTTGTAATATACATAAAACAATAATTATTCTATATACAAAGGATGTTGAGATGCACAAAACTTGAAAATGTTGTATGGCAAGACGAAACATGTCCTTAATAAGTTCTGCAGAACACAGGAAGCAATATTTGGGAGATAATACACTTAAAATAAATTAAAAGATGGTTAAAGTTTACATTATGATTAGAGAAAGAAGATACCGCATATCTTTTACTTCATCATACAAAACTAAAAATAGAATGTAGCAATTCCATAGAATCTCAATAATAAGAATAAAGAATTTAATGTAGTTGGGATTTTATGAAAAGAGGAGATATATACAGACTAGATTGGCAAATAATAATTAACTAAGACTTAAAGATGGAGAAAAATAAAAGTATAAAACAGATATAAAGAATATTGAGGTCATTTCCATCTTGTTCTAGAATGGGCATTAAACTCTATCTGTTACTAATAATTTAATTTCTAAATGATTGAGATGGTAAAAGATGTCATGACATTCTGAGTGACTTGGATTCAAAACTAGATCAGATTCTTGGAAATTTCAAGAGAGTGGTTCAACTTAGATAAATTAAGCCCATTATGGACCTAATGAAACAGTAATAGATATGAGAATATACCTTCTTACTACTTGCTGGATAGAAAAAGCAGAAAAAAAAGTTTGTAAAATAAAGATTAAAAATCCAGGATAAAATATATTTATATACTGTTGAAGACAAAATCCAGAAAAAAAAAAAAAAAAATACATTTTTGAAGTCTTATCAAGTGTGTTCCAATATAAATGGCCATTCAGTAAGACTTCAAAAATATTTATTTGTATTTTTCATGGCACATTTAGAAATATAGCACTCCTAAACCCACAATATGTAGGTGCCTCTAAAGTATTAGTACCACTTATGCACCAAATGATTCTATTTTATAATTCTAATTCTACAATAATTGTATTTTTACAGATTTTTAAATATCAAAAGAGCAAAGATCACTGCTATTGAATGCCTGTCATTAATACTACAACTCTGTTCATGCAAAATGTATTCATATGTTAATATGATCTAACTGATATGTTTTATTTTGTCACATATTTAAGCTTTTAATTTGCTCTAATTCCTTTATGAATTGTTTCTACATAAAATTTTTGTTCATTATTTTATTATTATTATTATTTTTGAATAAACAAAGATTAAATTTATCATCATCTTTCAGATCCGATNAAAGTTGAAATATATATCTAATTGCATCCTGTTATAGATATGAGAAAATTACATTTTTTTTTTTTTCAATTAATATTAATTTATTATATATGAGAATGGAAGGCATTCTGTAAGGAGCTGTTCATAAATTAAATAACGCAGATATGGGTGGGGATGTTCATAAAAAAGTTACGTAATGCTGTGGGGTAACAGAACGATTGATTTTTGTTACGAAGTGTTACATAGCGAACAGTACTGTTTATGTCACTGCTTTGTGTGTTATATTATTGTTACGTGTTGTATTTATTGTATAAAAATTAAATTAAGCGCATTCTTTTTTTGTGTGTCGTTTACTTCCGGTATGTTTTATCAGTATTTTTATTATTTTGAAATATTTACTATTAAAAAATATATAGATTATGGCATATATTAGGTTTCAAACACATTTTTTTTTTTACATGTAACACGTTTGTCTTCTCTGAATAACGTGTGAATGTAATATAAAAGCTAGGCGATTTACCTGTACGAGACTTTGATAAGCTTATGTTAATTCTGTGTTATTTTTTGGTAACTTAAGAATTTTTACTATTTAACATTGATACTTTAGAAACAAGTTTAAAACAATATTGTGATACTAAGTAGAATGGGACCGTCCATAAATTACGTAGCGCTAGTTTTATAGTTTTCAATTATCATCCCTCCATACGCCACGGCACATACCCATTTCCAAAATTACGTAACGCAAAAACTCGATCGATTCCCTTAATTACACTAAGGAATTATAGTTATTCAACTTGTAGCATCAATAAAATTATTGTAATGGTATTGAATTTTGATATCCCTAATATATTTTTTTTTAGAGCAGTTTATTATGAAAAAATTTAATATATAGAAGATTAGGAATGACAATTATTTGATGGAGTCACTTTGCATAATTACATAAATTTTCTATTACATAAATTTTCTATTACATAAATATATAGAAGACATTCATTAATCATAGTGGAATGATAAAGTCAACTTTTACATACATTAACCATTGCCTATGTCTTTTTTTTGTTTACAAAAAAATAAATAAATAAATGCATTTATATTTTTATGTAATATGTAAGAAGAAAGAGCATTCTGATTACACAAAGTGATGTCATTGATCTGATTTGCATCATCGTTAGTTAATAAAAGAGTTACACATCTTGTTGCTATCTACATAAATGCACTGCACAGTTTTTTCCATTCTCCAAGTAATGGAATCGTATTACCAATAAGAAAACATTTAAGAAAGCCAAGAGTTCATTCATTTTAAATAATAAATAATAAAAAAAAAGTGTGCAGTATAGAGACTATAACCAGACATCATTTGATACTTGAGGTCATGCCATAATTTCTTATGAAAAGATAAGAATTCTAAAGCTGCCCCCAGCAAAGTTTTAAGGGTAAATTCGAAATTTATTATAAAGAATAAATCCATTTTTAACTTGAGAATTGTCCACTCAAACATATAGAATATTATCATTAAATTTTCAACATAATTTTTAATTTATTTTTATATAACAACGTAAAAGTAATTCTAGAAATTATATATATATTACGTAATTTACATTTGCATATACGGAGCGACCTTTGAACTTATCACTAATCGAATAAAAATGCGGATCGAAAAATACGTGACGTCTATATTAAATCTCGCGCTGAACTTTTAACCAATCGCAAATCGATTTATCACGTGAGAGATATTTATTTATAAAAATTCATAAGTCTCTATAGATTGGACATTGTTAAAAGCAGGAAGTCGACTTAAACTTTGGACGATTTGTAAGTAACACACGATTTAATTTTAATTAAATTTCTGTTTATTAATTTAATACGATAATTAGTAACGATAATATATTCACCCCCTTTTTTTCCCGTTTTAAATTTTTATTAATTTAATTATTATTTATTATATTAAAAGGTAAAGAAAGTGAAATTTTAGCGACGTTATGGCTTTTTCGCGTCGTTGCAAGTTAATAATAGCGACGATAATTTAATTTTACTTTAATGCAAAAAAAAAAAAAAAAAAAAAAATGTTTATCAAATGCTAGTTTTTCGAATGTTTTATGAGACGAGGCATAATTTAATAAAAACATCATTCTTATTCTTCTGTTTGTTTCCATGTGTAGTGTAGTTTGTGGGACGTCCATTAATTACGCTTACAGTTTTACGAGGAGAGGGTGGCAAAACGTACATCATTGTATACAATGGGAGAGGGGGGTCGAGGTATTGCCTACGTAGACAGGTTTTTCATGATATTAGTGGTTTACGAATCTGTTCTTGTAAGCCTACTATCAGAAAATATTTGCAGAAGTTTTGATAGGAAGATGATGAATATTTGCAGAACAAATGTGATAGGATGTAGGATGATAATCTACATTAAATAATATCATAAACTTGGTCTTTTGTATAACATAATTTTTTCCTAGAATTTGGGGCATGTTTACAATTTTGTTTTTAAACTATTTGATATTACACAAAGTTGAAATATATATCTAATTGCATCCTGTTATAGATATGAGAAAATTACACATTTTTTTTTTTCAATTAATATTAATTTATTATATATGAGAATGGAAGGCATTCTGTAAGGAGCTGTTCATAAATTAAATAACGCAGATATGGGTGGGGATGTTCATAAAAAAGTTACGTAATGCTGTGGGGTAACAGAACGATTGATTTTTGTTACGAAGTGTTACATAGCGAACAGTACTGTTTATGTCACTGCTTTGTGTGTTATATTATTGTTACGTGTTGTATTTATTGTATAAAAATTAAATTAAGCGCATTCTTTTTTTGTGTGTCGTTTACTTCCGGTATGTTTTATCAGTATTTTTATTATTTTGAAATATTTACTATTAAAAAATATATAGATTATGGCATATATTAGGTTTCAAACACATTTTTTTTTTTACATGTAACACGTTTGTCTTCTCTGAATAACGTGTGAATGTAATATAAAAGCTAGGCGATTTACCTGTACGAGACTTTGATAAGCTTATGTTAATTCTGTGTTATTTTTTGGTAACTTAAGAATTTTTACTATTTAACATTGATACTTTAGAAACAAGTTTAAAACAATATTGTGATACTAAGTAGAATGGGACCGTCCATAAATTACGTAGCGCTAGTTTTATAGTTTTCAATTATCATCCCTCCATACGCCATGGCACATACCCATTTCCAAAATTACGTAACGCAAAAACTCGATCGATTCCCTTAATTACACTAAGGAATTATACATAGTACGAAGTACCGAACATACGTGTAAAACGTACAAAGCGGTGACGTAAACAATTCGGTTGTCTATGCAACACTTCATAAACAAAAATTATCTGAGGTTCGAGACCCAAGCGTTACGTAAAGTTTTTGTAAACACCCCCATCCATTGTAACGTATCGTAACGATTACCTGCATACACACTCATTTATAGCTTCGTGGGACTCAGACTAATTTGAATTGGCCCCACGTACGGTGATGACTTCGAGGGAGTTTTTTTGGGAGAAATATTTTCTTACAGAAGATTGGTTTGGGCTTCCTGTTGATGGAATCTAGGCAACTGCCCTTTTTATCCATAGAATAATGCGATACTGCCCCCAAGGATGCGATTATAAGAGTTTAGTGTAAAGATTTCCTAGTAGTAACAAAACACACTATTAACATTTTGTAGGAATATAGATAATTTTGGAGAATTTTGCTATCAAGAAATTTTTATTCCATATTTTGAGATAGATTCAGTAAATGTAATAAAATAGTAAACTAAATCGTTTTATAAACAAGAATCTATTCGAATTTCGTAATTTTATTAATGTTATTATATACAGGTTATAGCAGTACTGTATATATTTTCTAATATGTCCGAAGAAAAAATTTACTGTAAATTGCATTTTTTTGAATTACAATTCTAAATTATCTGACCGCCGGGTTGCCAACGCGTTAAGCTTGCCACGCTAGAGGATTAGGGTTCGAGTTTGGATCAGCAACCTTGAGAATTTTTCACGTTCTGGATACGTTAGGGCACGTCTCTCGCTACCCGACTCGCAGGCCTGGAAAAAGGCCTTAAAAGTGTACACAAGGAAGAGAGTTAGAAAAAAATAAAACAACCAAAATAAATAAATAAACGGTTTTCTGTTTTTGTGTTTTAGGTACGTCGAGCACTGTACACTTAAAGTTCACGGAACTTTAAGTGTACAGTGAAACATTAATAATGAAATGAAATTACTGTATTTAAAGGTAAATTAATTTACTCAAAATGTAACATAATGTTACATATATGTGACCTAGTTTCGTGGGGCTACAATCGACAGATATCAGGGAGAATTTGTCTGTACAAAGAGGCCAAACTCTTCCTGTACTATTATATTATATAGCATTGTGGTAGGTAAAACGCAACATCTTTTTTGTGTTTTTGAAAACCATTTCGGATAATCGAGTTTCCACTGTATATGTATTTATGTAGTGATCTTTAAGCACCTAACGCGGAAGTCTTCAACCTATGGCAAATGGATCAAGTACAACTCACAAACATGTTTTATCATTAACATTAGAATAAGTTTAAGCCTGGGTTTCACATAATAAGGAAAGCGTATTAAATATATAGGGGTAAAATATTTCATGTTTTAAATGTTAATAGGCCTACGAGTATATAGATTACTTAGTATTTTGGCTTAGCTATTAAATTTTCTCCTGAGTTAGGTAGGCGACCGGCACGACTCCATTGCTAACGGAAAAGTGTGATGTACAGGGGAAAGACACTATTAATTTGAGATGGAGAGCACATATTTCAAATTAAATAAATTAAAAGTATGATAAAAATTTGCANATGACAACCTAATATAGATTCAATTATACTTTTACTCTTTAACATTTAGAATAATATAATAAGTTCACCAAAGATAAGTGATTGTTAGTTAGTTTTTACTTATTTACCATTCTGCAGTAAAAGTTTGCATTTTGTTGGGCTGCAATTTGAAAAAATTGTACATCTATAAAATCTCACTGTCATCTGTCAGTCTTTCCTTAATCTTGAGAATGGAGTTAGATGAAAGACGAGACCAGATATGGAAACCTTAGAAGCCTTGATCAACTATATAGAAACTTTTGATGCAAACTGGAAGTCATTATTTAAATTCAAAATTTTCCTCTGAAAGGAATTAAATGGATGCCTGGCATGACTGTGTTGCTAACAGGAAAAGTACAGTGATGTACAGGGGCAAGACACTACTAATTTGAGGTGGAGAGCATATATTTTAAATTAAATAAATTAAAAGTATGATAAAAATTTGCAACCCGGCATTGTGACGACGTCACAATAAATAATTGCACGTTAACCGTTAAAATCCCCTCACTTCCCTTTTTTTAATAACAATATTCCCAAAATTAAAATTTACAGTAAAAGACTTAAGAGTACATATACCCGTTAAATTAAAGGTTAAAAAACTTACTTAAAAAACACTCGATATATTATCAGGACCCGGCACCCTGTTGACTCTCAATTCTTTTTATTGCTTCCTCCACTTCTTTCTCTGTAATTTTTTGATCATTACTGTCTACTTCTCCAGCATCTCCCAAGAGAGAACTTATACCCATCTATCTTGATCCATACCTTTTTTTTTTGCAAATAACTCTTCATAGAATTTTTCAAAAACATTATATCTTTTTCATCGACCGTTCTTTCATCTACTTTTCATTTAATGATACCATTACCATTCCCTCTGCGTTTCCCAATTGTATAGAAGAAATGTCTTCGTTGCGTTAACTGTTAACCGAAAACCAGAGAAACAAAGACATGCAACTAACTACCAGTGTTCAATGGTTTTATCCACTTTACGAATGGATAAACCATTGAACACTGGTAGTCGGAGGAAGCCTACTGATGAGCGCCCTTACCAGTTTCATTTCAAGATTTACTGAAGTCGTCGATAGCTAATTAGTTAAGATGCAGTGACTTCATAGCTGAATTTGTTTAGGAAAAACATTCATTAAGCTTAGCAAGTCTCGGAGGTGATGAGCTCGATGATTAATTGATGAGATACGTCGCGGCTCCTCATAGCTTACACAGAGTATTAAGTCGTTAGGAAAGCTTTTGGAGAAAGCGATGTCTTTAGGAAAACTCTCATTATTAACCTGATTCCAAGAATATATAATTTGAATTAAAATTCGAGAGAAATTCTTTAGTGATTAAAGTTTATGCTTAATCACTAAACTAACTAATCACAGGGCAAACACCAGTAATTGACTATGCCAACTTTATTAAGAAAATATATTTCGGGTCTTCTCTTCAGTCCTTTATTACAAATCTATTTAATTAATTAAACAAAAAATGCTATATAGTTCTAATACACCATATTGAATACATAATATACTTTTAAAAATTTTAAATACAGTAAATTATGTTTGTTTTATTTTTTTATTTTTTTTTTAAAGTCAAACAAACTCATTATGGATCCCTTTCATCCCGGGCTCAACAGTGGCCGAGTGGATAAAACCATTGAACACTGGTACTTGGTCGTGGGTTCGCGCCTCTCCACTGGCCACGTGGAGTTTTTCTGGTATTCTTCAGCATTCTCCCTTGGAGGGTTTTTCAGATATGGCCCCGTCCGCCATCTTAAACATTGGTTGGACAGATGATTAGGGGAAAGACGCATAAAAATAATTTCCATTATTCATTACATCAATTTAGATTTTATATGCATATATTTTTAAATTTCAGTTGGCTTTTAATTTTCTAAATAATAACACTTTTATGTATTCTAACAGAACAGAACAAGATGCCAGAACATACTCCTGTTCAAAATGGTTCTTCTTCGGATTCCAGAAACAACATAATCGACCACGTGTTAATTACAGGAGGAGCAGGTTACATCGGTTCCAAATTAGTTCCACTTATGCTTCAACAAAACTACAAAGTAACCGTTTACGACTTGTTCAATTATGGAATTTCTTCATTGCTATCTCATGCCAATAATCCAAATTTAACATTACTAAAAGGTGATATCAGGGATAAATTTAAATTAGAATCCGTCCTCCAGGAAGTGGATGCTGTCATTCATTTAGCTGCCATCGTTGGTTATCCGGCTTGCGAAAAAGATCCAGAATTGGCGCGTAACGTCAACGAATACGGAACTCAGTGCTTAGTAGATTGTATGAAGTCTCATCAGAAATTAATTTATGCTTCGACCGGTTCGTGTTACGGTGCCGTTGAAGGTATCTGTACGGAAGAATCGAAGATATCGCCTCTCACTCTTTACGGAGCTACCAAGGCCAGAGGAGAAAGTATCGTTATTAAAAAAGGTGGAATAGCTCTTAGATTGGCTACAGTTTTTGGCATATCGCCACGAATGCGACTGGATTTATTAATTAACGACTTGACGATGAAAGCCTTGACCGTCAAATATTTAGAATTGTACCAAGGATCTTTTCGTCGCACGTTTTTACACGTTAAGGATGCTTGCATGGCTTTCCTTTTCGCTTTACGTCATTACGATATTATGAAAGGTCAAGCCTTTAATGTGGGTGACGAAACCATGAACATGACTAAATGGCAAGCGGCGGTTGCTATTCGTGACGTTATTCCGGATTGCATCATCGTGCAATCCGATTGCGGCGAAGATAAAGACAAGAGAGATTACGTCGTTTCTTATTCGAAAATGTCAAAATTGGGTTTTAAATCGACTGTTACACTTCGCGAAGGGATCGAAGAACTTGTTAAAGTCATTCCTAAAATGTCACCTAACGAAATAGCTCTGAGCAAAAACGTGCAAGTATAAATGAATTAAAAATCCATTTTAAATATTTCTATCGGTGCTTTAATTAAGTTTCCATAATAAATAAATTGAGAAAATTTTAACCTATATTAAAATGGAGATTATAATAATAATAATAATAATAACTTTTGAATTTAATAAATTATTAGTCCATAAAATAGTTATAACACTCCCATATTTTGAATATTTAAACCACATTAAATAATCTTCTAATCAAAAAAGATATGAAAAAGGCTTTTGCTAGATTTAAAGTAGAAAATGATGAAATTTATAAAAAAAAAAACCTTTCTAACTTGATCCTATAAGTTCATTTAAATATGCTAAAAAATATCAATGATCATTAGATTGGATTCATTTAGTTAACAGTTTTCTTTTGATTTCTTAAAGGTGTACAGTTTGAACTCAATTCAATGAATTTGAATATTTAAATTTGAATTCATTATTCAATAGTTTCTATTTTTAACCTTTAATGCTAATAGTTGTTAACAGAATACTAAAATTCAACTATCAGATACAGTAGACCCCCCTATAACGCTTAGATACGTTCCACGCTAACCGANAATTTCCGCTTTTTATTTAATTGATATGTGAAGAATTATTATTATTTTTTAATTTTAAAATATGTAAGTAATAAAGTAATCTCAGATTACTGATTTAATAAACTTTCATAATGGTCGTAAGCAATAATAATTAATATCTTAGATTAATTAACTATGCAGTCTTTGAGCCATTTTTGACCATCATTTCTTCCCATATTGTAACGATGAGTGGACCGAATAAGCCATCCATATTAAAAAATATATACAGTATATTATATTCACTTAATTACTGCGACAATAAACCTGCCCACTGCGTAAGTGGATGGTTGTTTACGATCCCGAGGGGTCGGGATTCTTTTTGTCAGGTCGAGTGGAGAAAGTGAGCGGGGTCGTCGGTAAAGCGTCGGCGATATCCGAATAAAGAACATTATTAACAATCAAAAATAAAAAAAATTATTGGATAACAATTGGACGATCACAATATCTACATCGACTGGCTATCGAATTGGTCTGTTAACTCTTTACTACACATTGCGGGCCGAGAGAGAATTTACATTAAGTATCATCATATCTCTTTGCTGTTCCTCTGGTTCAAGTTTCGTTCTTCGTTAAATTGTGGTACCAAGTTATTCAAACACGACTGAAACGGGGATCGCTGATCGTAAGATATGGCTCAGAGATGCTGCTGAGTTATAGACTTCCCTGGAAAGGGTTAGATGTCGTTGGGCTCGTGGTGGACGAGAGACTCCACTGAGGGGGAAGAAGCGGCTCTTATAGCTTCATCGTGGGAAAATGTCATTTGACGTTCTATGGTAGGAGGTAAATGTAATTGGAGCTGGTGTGGAGGCTAAAGGTGTTCCCGGAATCTAAATAAAGTGACGAATTCGGACTTTAATTGTAAACTTATCTTGCAATACTAGCTTTATGATGTTTGTGACGAGCTAATGTTGACATTTGTGGAGGAGGGTTGTTTATTTTCCCAGTGAAATGGTTTTTTTTCCCTCAAATTCCTTAGACAAAAGAAGGGAAATAATTAGAAAAAATATCCGCGAAAATTCCGGATCTCACAATGTACAGGGCAAACCTGTATATAATTACACTACTACACCATTCAGGTACATCATACTTTTCCTGTTACCAATAGTGTCGTGCGGGTTATGTATCTAACTCCGTTCAGAGAAAAATTTTTGAATTGAAATAACGTGACTTACGGCACAAACCGGAAGCTCCTATATAATGAATCTGATCTTTCCACTCTTAAACTTTCCATGTCTGGTCTTGACTTTCATCTGTCTACCTCCGTTCTGGTGATTAAGGAAGGACAGACAGAAAGGACGACTAAGAATTTATAGGTGTACAATTTTTTCAAATTAAAACCCAATAAGTACCCTCCAGTAACCGAGTGGATAAAACCACCGAACACCGGTAGTCGATCGTGGGTGGGTTCAGCCTGGCCACGCGGAGTTTTTGGGTTTTCTTCACGTTTCTAACGTGAAGTAACAACTGAATAGGGGCATCGCCGTAACCAAATAAACCAAACCAAATCTAATAATTTTTCTATAAACGCGATATTTACGAGGATTGAAAAATTCTTTTCTCCTCTACACAGTTACCTTTGTAGTTCTGTTATATTATAGTACTTAATTTATATAAGGGTTAGAAGTGCAAAATAATCTAATAACTTTAATGTCTGTTCTTATTTTTTGCCTGGGCAACGCCTAACTTACCTGCTAGTTATTTATTTATATGCGATAGGTAGCCTCGAAAGCTGCCTACCTAATATATTGAAAATATTGGTGTTGAGCACGAAGCAAAGAATCGTCGATGACAAACTCATATAACTCGTTCCACTTATATAAACAAAACGTTGACAGCCGTCAAAGTAGCAGTCTACCGCTATGAGGGACCCGGGATCCTTTAGTAACTTATAGAACCTTCTCTTGCGTAAATACATATGGCAATAAATTCGACAAACGTGCCCATAAATGTTGCAACTGCCGCTCCAATTCCTCACGCTCTTATATGCCCGAAGCCGATGAGATTCGGTCATATAAGAGTGCAATCATATCTGGTCTCACAAATTCTCCAAATGGGTGACAAATCTGTAGATTGGACAAACCAAGAAAGTGTAGAACATAACGGAGACATTCCTGGAAAATTGTGTGTGGCTGAGCATTATCTTGCTGAAAAATGGCTGTTTGCAAACAGGATTTCCTGAATGTTTTACTATGCCATCAATGTCCCTCCTACCATTATTAGGAATGACGACTGTCATACGAGATAGCTCCTTAAAACAGATAAAGATAAAGATAAAGAAACTGGGAAAAACTCTTTATTGCCAGCAGCCTGTTCATCAGGTGTGAACCCAATCTATTACCAGTGTTCAGTAGTTTTATCCATTTGGTCACTGATGGACAGATAATCTTAAGATTTTGTTTCATGAATAGCAAAATTATGATTTAAGTCATATATTTTTAAAATGTGCATCAGCATCATGTATTTTCCTCTATAAAATGTAATTCAAAGAAATCGTGAGTTTTTGAATGAGATATTTTTACTCCTACTAGAATATTATTCATTTTTAATTAAAAAAAACAAAGATTTTGTAGCATTTTCTTTGTTATCCATCATGCTGGCCAGACTGAGTTTCTTGTACAGAGTAATTAAATTTGATGTAATATTTTATACTATAGAAATTATTTTTTTAAAAAATAATTAATAAATTACATAAATTTTATTTTACAAATAAAATATACAAACTGTACAAATTAATAAATTGACATTTAATGTATAATACAGAGATGAGAAAAATCTGATTTAATGAGATAAATATAATTAGCATCAACAAACATTATGAGAAACTTGAATTCACAGATAAGAATTGAGCTTATTTTTAAATTGATATTACTAATCATTGTAATTACATCTCATATAATTACAAACACACTATTCTGTATTCAACAAACATCATTTAGATAACATTTTATAACTGATGATTCTATATTATTTATGATCAGATGAGATATATCAGATTGTCATTTAATATCTAACTATAAAAGTTCATAATCTGTATAAAAATTTTAAAATTTTTATTGAAAAAAATAAATAAAAATCATTTAATTAATGTTTTAATATCTTATATAATACAAATGTACTGTATTATAGAAAAATAAAGTGCTCTGTAATATAACTCTGTTGAAACCAAGATTAAGTGGAATGAACATTTCTGATTTTTATTAATACATTAATTTAATAATAATAATTTATAAACAGATATATTTAAAAATATACTTCAATTTTATTTAATAAAATCACTATAAAAAATTTGACTTACCCAAAATTAATAATAGATCCTTTTGATTAACTAAAGTGAATAACGACAATATATTTAAATTGAATAAAAAAACTATATTAACTTTCTGTAATTTAAATAAATTAATTTCTATTAATCTAATAAAAATTCTATTACATTAATACTTGAAAGTGTAAATAAATGAAGATTTAGTTTCTTCAATATTGTTTGAATGTTATCAAACAAAAGAAAGAGTACTTATGTCTTTTTACTAAACATGCAAGTGTATGTTAATAGCTGATATTTACAGAATTCATAATAAATAATAAGCTTTAATATAATTTTCAAATACCCAAAAATTGCATGTAATACATCATTATTGATGTGTTTATCAGTATCAACTATTGTATATGAAGACAATACATTTAGTAACTGAAATATATATCAAGTATAATTTTGTTGTACTGTATATACAGTAGACCCCCCCTATAACACTTAGATACGTTCCACATTATTCGAATTTTACGTTGTAGGAATCATTAAATACATGAGCCAATCGCAGCCCCACACGTGTGAAGTTTACGGACTAAGGCTGTTTGAAAGGTTTTCTTCTATAAAATTAACCGATTCTAGTCTAATTCGACTCAACATTTCCAAAACACGTATAATTTTTTGGGAATAATCCGTATAAACTATGCTATAAACAAAAAATTGTAGGATTACTTACCGAGTGTGCACCGTTCGACTACGCCGTTGCTCAAGCTTGTTTTCGTCGCGGAACAGCGCACGAAACGGCGGCCGCGATTTCTGATAACGAATTTTTCGCAGAAAAATAACTTGACCTTTGGAGACATCATTAATATAAATAATTTTTATGGCCGTTGAATAAGAAATGTTTCTTTCACAAGAAATGTATAAAATTAGTGCTGTATTAGACTTACGGTACCTAATTTACATACTGTACAGACGATAATAAACTCAACTTACTAGCCTAAAATCTCCGTAGCGTGTTGCCAGGCGGCAGAAAGCATATATATAATTATAATAAAGTTACAATAAATTAAGTTAATATATAATTATATATACAGTACCTAATTTATATATAATTAATATATAATTATATGTACAGTACCTAATTTATATATAATGCTGTACAGACGATAGCAAACTCAATTTAGCCACCTAAACTCTCCGTAGCGTGGCGCTGGGCGGCGGAAAGTAGTTCGGCTGCTCGTCCACTATTGGTCCAGATTCGACTAATCTTGTCGCGACAGGAGTCGGTGACG